TGGTGTATCTCGAATCTTTGGTGCAGTGGCTGAACACAAAGCCGACGAGCGAGGCCTCAATTGGCCCAGAGCTATTGCCCCATTCGAGATTGTGGTCATACCAACATCGGGGGTAAACTCTCAAACCCTGGAGTTCCATGACAAGCTCACCAGTTGGTCGAGTTCTGGGCCAGGGTTCGATGCAGTCTTGGACGACCGCAAGGAGACTTTCGGCTGGAAAATGCAGGATGCCGACATGACTGGTTACCCTGTTACCATTGTTCTTGGAAAGGCATGGAGAGAAAGGGGAGTATGCGAAGTACAATGCAGGAGCTTGTCCTCGAAGGAGAATATTGCTGTTGAGGATCTGCCGGTACATTTGAATGCTTTACTCTCGCAATTGTAAGCGGTGGACTTGATATGAAGCGAGCGATATTATTTAAAATGTACAATTAAATATGTGTATAAATTCTATAGAAACTGTAAAACTCGTCGCTTAAATACTCACTTTTTTTTTAAGAAAAAAAGGGAATACGGGAGACGGCGGTTTAATAGGAGGTTGCATCATGATGTAGATACGTTGGTTGGACGAGCCTCTCAAGCAGGTAAACACTGTGCTAGCAAAAGCTGACCCCACTACAGCAACTACCACTTACCGAGGGGCAACCCCAACCTGAAATTGTCTGGTGACAACCTCGCTATTCACGACGTCGTATGAATAACGTATCAGCGCAACAAACATGGCTGGGGAACGGGAAACCAGTATGTCACTAGCTTACATCCCCCACCTCTGAGTACAAGCCTAACAGAGTTCACAGTCAACCTCGACACCCTCGAGCCACAACAGCTGGCACAGGTCAAGAAGCAGCTCGACGAGGAACTCGAGCACCTAACCTCGTCCTACGCACAGCTCCACGGGGCCCAAAACAAATTAAAGGACTGTCTACGATGTGTTAATACTCGATCTGCGGCAACCGACGGTGGGCTTTGCCAAACACATTGAGCTAGAGTGACTCTGGACGTAGTGGAAGGCTAACGATGTAGAAAAATTGCGACAGCTTCGAACTCGGTTCTTGTTCCTTTAACGAATTCATTATATGTCAAGGGAGAATTGTCCAACACAGAGTCTGTTTTGGTTGACGTGGGAACCGGTTTCTTGATCGAGAAGGTTGGTACAGGCAGCATTTTTGGACGGACTGGAGCTAATCTACTCGATCTAGAAGTTAAAGGCGGCGGAGCAATTCTACGACGACAAAGTGCAAGAGCTGGGCCACAATTTGAAAGATCTGGAAGCAATTGTGCAGCGCAAACAGAACAATGTTAGAGCAGTAGAGGAAGGTATGCAATTTTTTCTCTGCTAACTAAAGATGTGCACGCCCATATTGACACGTCTTCGAATAGTTTTGCGGCAAAAGATCATGGCTGCCCAGGGAGCTAACTCATGAAGTGCCTGAACGGGATGGCGTGATACGATATAGTAACAAAAGCACTGCATTGACGATTTACTAAAATAGTGAGCGACCAATCAAAATTATGGTCGCACAATGTTTGCTGAAGTTGGCCTCGTCCATGGTCTCTGCCGTCTCCTTGGGCTACGTTGTTGTATCATCAACATTTGCCACTTCCAAGGCAGACAATATGTCTAAAACATGACAAACAAAACCTGCGAATTGGTCCTCTGCGGTCTCTCCTGAGCCTTCCCAGATATGAGACTGGTGAGGTCCCCAGTCCTTCTTCGATTCATGCATACTTTTGTAGTTGAGGCTGTCTTCCCAGTGACGACCGAGCATTTGGATTCCAAGCCATGAATGAAGGGCTTCTTTTGTATTCATATCTCTCCATGCGAAATTCCTGCTTATTTCTACTACGAATGGCGTATCGCGAAAGGGTATCAGAGCTGACGACTTTGTACTTATGTCACTCAGCTTGCCAGTCCACCTGTCAGGATTCTTGGCATTGATATTGACACACCTGTGTCCGAGGTCTGTGGGATTTATTGGTGGTCCTTCGGTGAAGACCACAATGTCCTCAAGCAAACGTTCGATAAGCTCAGGTATGGGTTGAACTAGCAAGTCGCTGTCCACCTGAAGAGCCCAGTCGTATTTCCTATTCACGACTTGTCAGTCTGTGAGCCCGTGATGCCTAAAACAATTCTCATCATCCAAGTTACCTGTCCGGAGCTACTATGATCCACCTAAGAGGTGGCCACTCTTCTGATACCACCAAACGAAAGTTTGTCAGGTTCGGCTGTCGACCTTGCGCGTATCCGACGTCGCCTGTGAGGATTTGATCTCCTATCCTCATATGGATGCTGTCCTTATAAGTAATATTTTCGACTCCATGGTACACATTCGCTTTTGGATCCAGGAGGTGTGCAACCAATTTTGATACACCCCCAACTTCTGCCATTCTAGCGTCGTGTCAGCAAATGGTATCAGCCTAGAGGCACTTTCAGAGACACTCACCTCATATTAAGCTCAGCTCCGCCCTTGGCTCCATACTGCAGGGCCATCTCTGTGAAATCGGAGTACGACATGGCGTTCCCTATGCCTCGCTTCCGGCGTCGAATGATGATATGCCCAAAGTCTACGTGCATACGGAGCGAGCGTTTAATGGTCTGGAGCGTAGTCATAGAAGACAAAAAACTTGTACCGAGCTGCCTTAGGACATCGATAGCTACCTCTGCAGTCCCGATCATCGTCTTTTGACATCGTTCTACTCGGGGACGGGAATCCAAATTCACGCTAATTAAAGTGTCTGGACTAGCATCCATAGGTTTCTGGACTAAGAATAGAGTCGACACGTTCTGTTGTGCCAGACGCATATCATGAAGAGCCCAATTGACAGCCTTGAATCCCTCTTGCAGGCTCCATATTGTACGGCTGTAAATATGCAGAACGTTTCGCTTGTCGTGTTTGATCCAGACCCTCTTCTCTGTCTTTATAGTATCGAATGAAGAGGACTCGGATAATTCTCGAAGAAGCATGTGCCTTTCAGGAAGAACCAGGACTGCCTAGAGTTATGTTAGTTTTGAATGACCAGATTTACGACTCATTGCACATACCTCCAAGAGATTTTCGCCCTCCGGAGGTGGATGTAGATACTGCGCCTCGGTAGTGGCGTCTCTTTTCTTTCGTTCATCATCTATTTGGAACCTGGCACTTGGCATTTTTGGCTGCTCTGCAAATTTTCTCCCCTTTACTTCTGACGTAGAGGGGCGGTTTGGAGGATCAACACCTCGACATTTGTGAGGGCGTGTTTGCGAAGACTTCATGGCCAAGGAGAATGCAGCACTTCTTCTTTCAGTCTTGCATAGAATCTGTTGTGTGCGTGCGTGTGCTCTGAACAAGGCTGTGAAATTTGAAAGAAAAAAAAAGACTGGACAGAGAGGGATTAATGAGTCAAGTTTTATATCGCAAACGGCAGGTGCCCGGCAGCTGGCAGCCGGCTGGCGATTAAGGCATGGATTAACTGACACCTGGAGCATAACGTAATAAAGCTGTAGCTAAGCTGTAGCAACAGGTTGTTGGCACTTGAGCAGCCAGCGCTCATTTGGACTTGACTGAAGTTGTTGCCGTCTTACAGGCGCTATTGTGTACGCTCTACATACCTAGGTAGGTATATTTGGCAATATACAAGCACGTCGTTTAGCAAGATATCATTGTAGTGCCAAAATCTTTGAAAATAAAAAGTTGTCATCAATCATCATCTTCTTCCTTCTCAACCATCTGAAAAACAGGACGAAGGACGAATAACACAAGGGGACATAAAAAACAGATGTTGCATCACACCCAGACCAGCGTCGATCGGAATGGGTCAATAGCTCCTGCCGCACCAGACGGTATACAAGGGGCCACGCCTTAGTATTTTATGTGTTTAGCCCCCACCGTGCGACAGCTCCGGTTGGGAAGGGTGGGGCACTAAGCTCCATTGAAGTCAAGCAGGGGCAGCAGCTGCATCGCGTCTTACAACGCGTTGATGGGCAAGAAAAATGATTGATCCCTTCCTACCACCAGGCACAGCAGATCTATGGCGCCGCATAACCTCACCAAAAGAGGCACCGAGCCCGCTATTCGGAGGAGGAAGAATTTGCCCGGAATAAGCCGTGAAGATTCAGACGATGAGCTTGGCAGCGATGATTTACCCTGGGAATGGATCTACAATGTCGAGGACTCGGAGCGAGCGAACCATGATGCGCAAAACGATCGAAAAAGGCGGAAAGTTACGGGAAACAAAATTGTTGGGGCTCGAATGGGCACTTTTGAATGCCGGATAGGTGACACGGTCTTGCTGAAAGCTGATGGCTCTAATGAAGCTTGGGTAGGAATCATTTGCGAGTTTGTAGAGGATGACGGGGAAGGCGACAATGCAGCGAATTTTATGTGGTTTTCAACAGAGAAAGAAATCCGTAATAAGAATAAAAAGCGGAATGATTTCTATTGGGTGTGCCTGCTTCCTATCCGTTCAAAGCTATCGCAAGAAGAATATACTAACGGCCCGATTAGAACGAGCTGTACATATCCCCGTCGTGGGATATCAATCCCTTGGCGTCAATCAATGGCAAGGCCAAGGTTATGTCACTAGAGGCCTTTTTATCAAAGTACCCGTCTGGAAAAATACCCCGTCAGTCGAAAGAATATGGCAAGACATTTGTTTGTCGTCGGGGCTGCAATACTAGAACGGCAACCTACACGGAAGAATTCAATTGGGAAGAGATGTATTCAAGTGTTGGTGATATGTTCAAATTGATAGACTTTGTCGAAAAGAACACAAAGGCAGCTCGAGGTCGAAGGAAAGCCCGGGAGCAATCGCCACGAGACACTGCATATTTACCTCCGCAAACTCCTACTAAAGGTTCCCGGACTACTATCACGACACCGCAGTCCAAGCGTAGTCATGCAGAACCAGGCTCTCGCTCCCAAAAGAGGTACATACAATTTCTTTTCTTTCCCCTGATTTGATTGACGCTAATTCGGAGCATCAGGGGGACTGGAAAGAAACTCGAGTTCACACCACTTGCCATGAGAAAGCTCTCTCCCAGCGCAGTTCAATCCTCACCGTTCCAGATAGCACGCTCTCGCCTTCACGTATCCTCCGTCCCGACAAGCTTGCCTTGTCGAGAAGGGGAATTCTCTCTTGTCTACTCGCACCTTGAAGCAGCAATTACAGAGGGTAGTGGAAACTGCATTTACATCTCGGGCACCCCTGGCACAGGCAAGACGGCTACGGTTCGTGAAGTCATATCTCGTCTGGAGGATGCATTTAGGTCAGACGAGTTGGATGATTTCATATTTGTGGAGATAAATGGCATGAAGATTACAGACCCCCATCAGTCGTATACCCTGCTCTGGGAAGCACTACGGGGACAGCGAGCAAGCCCATCGCAGGCTCTCGATCTGTTGGAGAGAGAATTCAACAATCCCAGTCCCCGACGTGTCCCATGTGTAGTGTTGATGGATGAGCTAGATCAACTGGTGACGAAAAATCAGGCCGTCATGTACAACTTCTTTAACTGGCCGACTTTGCGGCATAGTCGTCTTATTGTTTTGGCCGTTGCGAATACCATGGATCTTCCAGAAAGAACACTTAGCAATAAAATCAGCAGTCGTCTAGGTAAGTTTGATTGAAGCTAGGTCGGAGAAACATTGCAGCGTACATTGAATCTAATTTGAGTCTTATTCAGGCCTCACTCGCATTACATTTCCAGGTTATACCCACGAACAACTTATGAAGATCATACAATCCCGCCTAGAGGGCGTTCCTGGGAACGTCGTAGACGCAGATGCCGTCCAGTTTGCTAGCAGAAAGGTAGCCGCAGTGAGTGGAGATGCCAGGAGAGCGCTGGATATCTGCCGCCGAGCTGTGGAAATTGCAGAAGGCGATGCACAAGGTGACCCGATGACACCGAGTAAAAATGGCACACAAGATTTGACTCGCCGTGGAAAGGTCACCATTGCCACTATCAAAAAGGCCATCAACGAAGCGACTACAAACCCTGTACAACAACACCTGCGAGGGCTTCCTTTAATGTCGAAACTCGTCATGGCGGCTGTCCTTCTCAGGATTCGAAGAACAGGCTTAGTAGAGTCGACTTTCGGCGAAATCTTGGACGAGTTGCAACGAGCGACAGCTCATTCATCACCCGCGCTCCCCGGTATGGCGCAAATTCTAAACAGCGGCCTTCAGGGGACACCAGGTGCCGCCCACCGACACCTAGGGAGACCAAGCTACGTCCACACAGCTGCGCTGGATCTTGTTGCGGCGGGACTCATAAACTTAGAAGCACATCGGGCCGAACGTTCTAGCAAGTTGCGGCTGGCTATTGCTGATGACGAGGTCAAAATGGCACTCCGGGACGATGGAGATCTGAGAGCCATGGGACTCGGTGTATAGTATACGATAGCAGTATTATGGGTATTTCAAAGCCGGCCATTTTGTTTCAACGCCAATATGTACATACATGCTCATGATCCTCGTCCGCGTCCATTGCCATCGACAAATCCCGGCACGTTAAAACTTGCGTCGTCCTAGTGACGGTGTCCATTGCAGCGGGTGAGTTTCGGCAGTAGCCTTCTCATCCGGTTTCCAGATTTTAACTATAGCAGTGATTAGCAAGAAATGTAGTTAGGCAGTGCGGATATAGTTTAAGGAGATTACGAACTTGTCTTGTCAGCTTCGCCACAAATCAGACGCAGGCCAGAGCGATCAAACGTCGAGGCCATAATGCCAGCCTCCGCGTCCAAAGACCCAGGCTGTGCTGTGGTATCCAGTGACTGGAAGCGGTGACCGGTCTTCCAGTCCCAAAAGCTCATTGACCCGTTGTCACCTGTTATTCACACACGGTTAGAAAGGGCGCCCTGGCTGGCCGAGAAATAGAAGCCGGAAGGCAGGGCAGGATTGTCATGCTTACCTCCTGAGAAGAAGACATTGTTCTGGTTCACGCTCAAAGTGTTGATGATGGCATTGTGGCCTTCAAAATTCTGCATAAATGCGCCCTCGGGGCACTTCCACTGCTTGATGCTCCCTGTGCTGCCGCTGGCAAAAGTGAACTCGGTGGGATGAACAGCCAGCGCTCGAACACCCTTCTTGTGATGAGTGAGCACGCCCATGGTCTTGCCCGCGGCAAGATCCCACAACCTCACCGTAGAATCGAGAGAACCTGTGATTACTTGGGGGTCCGCTTCCTGGCACTTGACGTCTGATACGGTGGCAGTGTGACCTGACAGCACGTGGATATTGCTGCGTGTTCGCATATCCCAGACTCGGGCGACGCCGTCCCGACCGCCCGTGACGAGAACGTCAAGAGTTGGATGAAGGGCTAGAGTGTATACGCCGCTGAGGTGGCCGTGGTAGTGTCGGATTACTTTATTTGTTTCCAGGTCCCAGCACTTGACCATTTTGTCTTCTCCACAAGAGAACAGGTACGGATGTCGAGGCGAGACTACCAGGCCGCGGACAGTGCTGATGTGTCCGGTAAGAGTCAGGCGCAGTGAACCAGTGGCTAAATCCCAAATCTTGATGGTTCTGTCGCCAGCACCACTGGCAAACCACTTGTTTCCTGGCTCTACTGCCAAACTGCGCACCCAGCCGAGATGTCCAGAGATGACCCTCATCAGCTTCCATGGGGGATGCCACTCGGGCTTGGCCTGTTGCAAGGGTTGCGCACCTCTTGTGGATAGTGCCATATTGTTATTTGGAGAGTCGTCCACGGCGGGCATTGGGCTTGCTGACGAGCCTGCCGTCGCTGATCCCGGTCCAGCCTCGAGCAGTTTCTGCGCAAGTCGCGCCGGACCGGCAGTCTTTTGTTTGACGGCCAGTTTCTTTCCAGGTTTGCTCGACGGCTGTCTAGCGGCCAGGGTAGCGGGTAGGGTCGTTACATTTGAGTATTCGGCTTCGAATCGGCGCTTCATCATGGAATCTTCGAATACGTCTTCGAGTTTCTGTCGCTTGCCATTGGGCTGCTCAGCTGCCCTCGTGTACAAGGTTCGCGAGACAATGGCGTTCTGGGACGCCAGGGCACTCAGCTGCAGCGCATCCTGTGGCTGCTGTGGTGTCTCCATCGCAGGCTGTGTGTTTTGGGTGTAGTTGCGAAGTCTCGTGGGGGAAAAGCTGACGGTTCGCGATCAATATATCGAAAAGGTGGAGGAATAGGCACGGTTGAGTTGCAGCCTCGTGTGGCGCAAGCAGGCCTGCCCCACAGCCGCCACAATGCCAGCAGACGGCGGCGGGAGATGCCTTCAGCAGCTGGTGAACTTGCATCACAGGTCGTATCGTTGTCTAATCTGATTTTGATTTATGCATTACATCATCCGAAATTTGATTATAAGTGAAACAATATGAATGAAGAAAACGACAAATTTCCTCTTCATACTGCCGCAAGGGAAGGAAATGGTATGTGGCGGGCTCGCATTCGTGTCATGCAGCTTCACCCCAGCTTACAAGACAAAAACTAGTTCTCAAGGCAGAAGGGTTACTCAAAGTAAGAAAGGATGCTGTAAACCTATAAAGTGTCCACTCCTTGACCCGTCCTCGCAGTAAATACGAGTCTGGTCTAACACGTCGAGGTACATAGACGGACCCGAAGTTATCGAAGAAGAAAGATGACGATGGTCGGTACCCCATCCACTGGGCAGCTTCATCAAACAACCTGGAAATCGTCACATTGCTAGCTAATCAAGCGAGCTTCGATCCCGATGTGCAAGTGAGTTGTGAAATGACCTTTTTTTTGTGTCCTTGGGAGCTTTCTCCTTCCTAACACCTGAACACACAGGATGATAGCGGCTGGACCCCTCTCATGATCTCTGCCAGCGTTGCCGACAGCGAGGCGGTGCTCAGAGTTTTGATTCAAAAGGGCGCAGAAGTTAACGAGAAAAGTAAGCCATATTAATACGTATATATGTGACCATGTTAAAGCGATTGAAACTGACGACGCGAGTTAGATTCCAACGGACAGGTACAGTAACAACATAACGGCAAAGCTGTTTCACAAATAGATATGCTAATAAAATCCCAGACCGCTCTTCACTTCGTCGCATCCAAGAAAAATATGGACGTGGCTCGTCTACTGCTAGAGTCGAAGCCGCCTGCTTCAACTCGCTTCCGTGACCGACGCGGGCAGTATCCCATCCACCGAGCGGCGGCAGTCGGTTCCGTACCTATGGTTTCGCTACTGCTCAAGAACAAAAGCCCACTGAATCCTACAGATAATGAAGGATATACCCCCCTGCATCACGCTATCGCGGAGGGACATGGTAGTTGCACATTCCTGTGCTGGCGTACATACTTAACCCGGTGCTGATTAGTCTCATAGGCGATGTCGCCATTGCCTTGCTCAAAGAAGGTGCTGATTTCACATTGAAGAACACAGATGATGTATTGGCTCTGGATTTGGCACCGGACAAAGAGGTATGCATATATATACGCACATTAACAGTTCTACCCAGAAGTCCCATGATTTGTTGACGCCACCCTCACAGGTTCGCCGCTACATTGTGCGAGCCGCCGAGCGAGAAGGGGTCGACCTAGGTCCGTAGACACTGTGAATAAGTAGGTAGAGGAATCTATCCTGATCCCGCAGAGGGAAAAGCCGAGGCCTCCCTCTTTTTGCTAAAGTTTGACGCATCATTTCACCGTTCGCTCAACAAGTTCACGGTACATAGCCTTAACATCCTCAACATCAGCCCTTAGCTCTTCCACAAGTTCGCTTTTTTCACCAAGCATCTCCAGTGTTGTCTGATATCTTGAGTCGATTTGCGATACTTCATCTTCAAGCTGTGATACCTTGGCCGCGACGGCTTTTGTCTCCTCTAACTCCTTCATGAGACTGACCATGTCTGCTCTGGCCTCATCTCTCTGACCGCAAACCCTCGCCATTTCTTCCTTTGCTGTGACCTTCTCTGCCTCTAGTCTTCGGATGGCAGCACTCATTCTCTCAACTAACTGAACTGAGGGCCCTGCAGCCACTGTTGACACGGAGACCATATCCTGTGCCACCTGACGAGGCGAGGAAGGGATTGTGTCAGACACTCCGTTTTCTCGCTCAGCAGCAGGAGGTGATGGGAGTTGTGGGGGTTCGCTTGACGGCTCGAAAGGCGAGAATGGCGTAGGCAGCAGGACAGATCCAGCATATGATGACTCCTTAATTCGGAGAGGTGGCTGGCCCGACAGACGTCTGATGGGTGACTTGGTCTCTGCTATGCTATCTGGTATACTGCCAGGCGCCTGAGATCTACGCGATTTACCCAGGATGCCGAGGCCCATCATATCGGAGCTGTAGGTTCTCGGGGCTGAGAGAAGTGGCGAGTCAGGTTGGCTTTGTTGACCCTTGGACGTTGCTCCCGCAACCTCATCTACCCATTGGCGTCGTTCTGCTTCGACAGGGTCTTCTCTCTCAACAATATTCTGTCTCGCCTTTTCTAGCTCCCTTCGGGTTTCTTCCAGGGAAGCTTGTGAATCTTTGTACAAAACCTGCAGTGTCGTCAACTCGTCGCGGCATGCTTTTAATTCCTGGCGAACTGTAGTGAGAGACGGTTGTACATCTTGTAGCTCCTCCTCGAGATGTCTTGATCGGACAGCCTTTTTGGGATGTCAGCATGAACAAATTTGTGTATGCGGCATGTTGTATGTTAAACTTACGGCATCCCTTGCTTTCTTTCTCATTTCTGATTCTCGACGTTGTGCCTCATCTCTCTCCTTTTCCAAGTTTGCCGCTTTGGCAAGAAGGGATGCCTCAATGCCCTGCCAATTTTCTCTGGCAGACGCATATTGAGATTGAAGAGTCTCGATTTGTCTGAAGATTTTTACCTGGGCCTCTCCCCCAGAGCCTGACGACGCTTCTTCTGCCGCCGTTCTCATGGCTTCCAACTTACCTTCCATTGATTGCAGCTCGAGCTTAAGCTCGTCTTCGGTTTTACGGCCGCGCTCAACAGCACGGTCGAGCTTTTCACGCCATTCGATCTGTTCCTGACGAGCCCTCTCCACGGCTGCATCCTTTTCGGCACGAAGGTTCGAGTTGGTTTCTTCCAGAATTTTTTGCTTTTGGCGTTCTGTGGCCAGTGCCTTGTTCATGGCTTCTCGCTGTGTGTGTTCGGCCTGTTCTGTTTTATTTTTCAATTCTTGCTCCAGTCGCCGGTAAGCATCGTCTTTCTTTGCATTGTCCTTCTTCAGTGCATCGACCTCCTTTTGCAGTGCAGCAGTAGCACGTTTAGCCTCCTCCCTACGCTTCTCAGTCTCTTCGGGACCGTTTAGGCGAGCACGGAGAGTCTCTGCATCCGACAACGCTTTGTCTCGGGCTTTTTTCAACTCCTCCACTTTCTTATCAGTCTCTCCTATCTGAGCACGCAGTTTCTTGATTGTAGTTCTAAGTTTGTGCTCATTCGTTGACAGCTTCTGCCCTTCTTCCATGAGCAAAGCAATCTTTTCATCCTTTTCAGCGAGTTTCCGTTCATTGCTACCTGCTGGTGCCGATAATGCCGATGTTTTGGCAGCATCTGCGGCGGATTTTGACAGGTATTGGAGCTTGGATTGAATTGAATCAATTCTTTCGATGTATTCCTGAATCTCCTCTTGGTGTCTAACTTTGGACTCTTCTAATTGCCTTGCAAGTTCTGCGCTATCGGATGATGCAGATGCCGTCGGAATTGGGGTGCTATCTTCGGCAGGTTCCAGTTGCCCAGAAAGCTGCGACAAGTCTTCGTTGGATCGCGAGTCCTTATTATTAGGAGCTTCATTTTGGTTAACAACGGATGGTTCGGTGAAAGCGGGCCCAGCCGTTTCTGATGCACACTCTGACGGTTCAGCGACTGACGGTGGTACTTCTGCAGTAGATTCAAAAATGGCCGCGCCATCCTCTGCCTTTGTTTCAATTCGCACATCCGTCGATCGTCGCTCTATGGAAGGTCGGCTACCTTGGTCGACTGAACTTCGAGGAGACGCCGCACCTCTGCTCGCAGGACGGCTGGATGTCCCCTTGCCAGACATGGCCTGAGCCAATCTTGCTTGTAACCGATCATTGGTACGGTTGGTAGAGGAAGACCGTGAGTTGCCTGGCACGGTACTAATCAGCTCAGGTACAGATGCCAGAGTATGCTTCCCCGGCAGTAGTCAAACTCACTGGGACTTGGCTTAGCAGGTGCTAACTGTTTTGAAGACTGTTGCTGTTTTGTAGTTGTCGGCTCGACAGATGCAGAGCCGGCAGAAGAGGCGGCAGAAGTAGCAGATGCGTCTTGGGCCCGGGCCTCATCAGGATCAGCCAAGATGTTATCCAGCCTCGATTCAACTCCTGCAACGGCCTGAGAAAGGAACGAGCCCCATCTTGTCTGCTTTCCTGAGACAGCCATGGCAAGGCTCTTGTCGTTTTGCGATGCGATGCGCACGTCCAGCCCTGTCACCAAGGACTACGGGAGAGGCGTGAAGAGACTGGGCTGTGACCTGCGGTCGAAGCTGGGCCGGGTTTTGTTCTTTGATACGTCACTGGCCGCATGCATTGTACTGGGTCAGGTCGAGGGGTACGGAGTGAATGGCATATTCAGCGGGCGTATGTTGGTAGGTGAGTAGTTGATACTTCGTACTCCGTACTGAGGCGACACGACAGCAGTCAGCTCTAGCTCTTGGCATGGCTGTAGATATCAAGTGGGACGCGAGGGTAGTTACCAATCCCAGTCGGTACCTGGGTACTCCGTACTCACCTTGCAGGGACTTACCTAATCAGCTCGTACCAACGAAGCATCACTGCGGCTTGGTCAACTGAACATGCCATCCTCTCACCAAAAGAATGGCACCTACATTCCTAGAAACCATGCACATAGGCCTTGGGAATGCAGGTACATACTACGCATCATTCGTGAGAGAAACCTCGTGGTTTTTATTTCTATAAATCTGCCATCTGTTTTGATATCTGCGTTCTTCGCAAAAATCACGGTCGGGGGTATATGTATCGTGGGGACGCAAGCTGTTAACCAAACATCAAACTCAGACTAAAGCGGCTGTAGTCTGCGGAACTGTACATGACTGACACGGCAGACTATTATGTAAGTTGCCGTCTGCCATTATTACAATCGACATCTTGCCTGTGACAATTCCGTCTCTTACCAAGGCGGGTATCATGTGAAAATGCTCCCAGCAACCAAGAAACCGTAGCCATGTATTCCATCAAGATGGGTAGCTTAAAATCCCAGATCCTGCTGGGATCAACCTCTGAACGATGCGAGTGAGCTTGCTACTCACACATGCAACCAACATGACTTTTCACTTGTGGACGTAGGCACTTGGTAATCTCCTCTTCCGATAATCGGCCAACGGGGGAAGAAGAAATGAAATAAAATAAAGAAACAATCAAAACGGTGCTAGCTTGCTCAGAAACAAACGCTTTGCAGCCCAAAGTTCTATCCAGTCAACTTCCTCCACCAGCTTGTTCGAGGAGCAGGGTCAACTAAAACCGAGTTTCTTCTGCTCTCTTGCCGCTCGTCACTGCCTTCTGAGCCGGCAACACGTCTTTCTCGTTCTCTTCCTTCACGCCTTGCGCGACGTCGACGCTGGTCATCTATCTCATCTGCCGTCATGTCACCCATTTTGGCCCTATGCCGAGCTCGCCGGGCTTCACGTCGGACTTTGTCTTCATCGGTTGGGTCGCCGTCCTCGGGTGGTGGCGGCGCGTCCGAGTGGTCCTTAACCCAGGAGGACGTCCCAGAGTGTGGCCAGGCTGTGCCTTTCTTGCTCTCTCGGCTGCGGTCCTTGTGCGGATATATCTGCTCGTCACCAGAGGGTTCAGCGCGTCGTCGACTGCTCTTCCTCCTGTGGCCATCGAGACCTTCTGCAGCGGCCCGGGCGGCACGTCGTTCTCGTCTGCGTTGATGCTCAGGGTCGTCTTCCGCTGTTACATCAATGCGTTGAGAGCGGCGGCGTTCTTGTTTAGAACTCCGGCGTGCCTCGTTGGCATCTCTCTCCGCAGCGAGGGCAGCGGCTTCCCTTTCTTTGCGCAAACGGCGCCGCTCAGTCCTCTCGGCCTCTCGCTCTTCCTGGGCACGCTGCTCCTCTGCTTCACGGCGTGCGGCACGACGTTCAGCTCTTCTGGCTTCTTTGTCGTCGCCTTTACGAACCTCGGTGTCTTCTTCACGTCTTCGCCGTCTTTCGCGCCGGAATTCATCACTTGCTTTGTCGTTTTGTTCTCGCTCACTACGTCGCGACTTTCGGGCTGAGCTACGAGTGTCGCGGTCTGTTTCGCCCGTTGTTGCTTCAGCCTCGGCGTTGGCATTCAACCTCGCCGATTTCGGAGTCATTAATCCACCAAAGAGACCAGCAAACCCTGACTTCTTGGATGCTGACGCGCCGCGCTTCCATGGCCCGTCTGATGGGATACCGGAGTCAACCATGACGACGTCGTCTTCCGGCAATCTCCTGGATCGGCGCTTGTCGCGCTTTGCCGCACCGGGATCAGCGTCAAGAGCTCCCGCCATTACGAAATCCTCGCCTTCAGGGCGTCTTCGAGACTTCTTCTTGCCGCTTGACTTGTCAATGCCCAAGACCTTTGCAGCCTTTGACGACATCTCAGGTAAATTCTCTGGCGGGGGCGAAGCCAGATCATGGACGTCCACGGAATGCCTGCGTGAGGATGACTTTCCGCTGGTGCTTCCACGCCTCTCTTTATCTCGAGTGGACATAGATCTCGAGATAGGTGGCGTGCTGAACATGGCAGACGTACGGACCTTATTAGCTGCTTTGTCTAACTTCTCTGCACGATCTGCCTTGTCCGAGCCGGAGTCCTTGGATGAGGTTTTGTCAGAAGACCGCTTAGATGGTTTGTCAGACTTTGACTTCGAAGACGAAGATGTCTTTCTATCTTCTCTTCTTTCCTCCTTTCGCGTTGTCGCTGGCGCCGTGCTCCACTTTGCCCACGAAGCACCGTCGCCACTGATTTTGGGTCGGTCTCTTTTGGATGATTTCGGTTCAGGGGGAGGGGTCAACGGAGCATCAGGAACAGGCGGAGGCATTGGGACAGGCGGCGGCGGAGGTAGCGCTTCGTCCTTTGTCTTGCTCTTCTTGCTCTTCTTTGGCTTGTCTTTTGGTGGCATGTCAACGATTGCAACTATGTCATCTTCATCATCGTCAGCTGGGAAGCTTCCGGGTAATTCAGAAGACTTATGGCTCCTCTTTGAAGACGAACTCTCATGTTCAGCCTCTTCTATCTCCTTGGATTTCTTCTTGGACTTGGAGCTCTTCTTCTCTTCTTTCGGGGGAGTTGGTGGCGCGGGTGGAGGAGGAGGGATAGGGTCTGCCAGGGGCTCTTCCGGTGCAGCCTCGAAAGTCTTCAGCTTGTCTGCAATCCTTCCCCCAACAGCTTTTCGTGACGAGACCCCCTTTGAGACAGCCTCAGCCGCCTGCGGTAATGGAGTCGTGTCCTTGTCATTGACGGCATCTTCCAGAACTAAGAGATGAGTAAGCAATGAACCTAATTTCGGCACATTCCGAGATATTGGGGGAAGAGATTGGGGGAAGGGATTTGGGAAAGCTGGGGTAGCGCCACATTGACCACGAACCTTTCTTCGATTTCTTGGACCCGCCTAACCCCCAAAAACTGAATGCATCATTTGTTACCTTCGGAGCCAGCAGCTCTTCTACTTCCTCTGGTTTCAACTCGGGTTCCGGCTCAGGTACCGGTTCAGGCACGACGTCTGGCTCTGGCTCTGGCTCTGGCTCTGGCTCCGGTGCCTTCTCTGGCTCTTTCTCTTTGGACGATTTCTTGTCCTTTTTCTTGTCCTTCTCCTTGTCCTTCGACTTGGAGCTCTTCTTAGAAGACTTCTTGGCAGCTTCCTCGGCTTCTCGAGCGGCTTTCTCCGCCTCTCGTGCAGCTTGTTCTTCAGCCTCTTTTGCAGCTTGCTCCTCTGCCTCCTTTGCAGCTTGCTCCTCTGCCGCCCGTGCTGCCTGTTCGTCCGCCTCCTGAGCAGCCTTTCCGTCTGCTCGCTTATCAACACTCTCTTTCAAGCGATTGTACTTTTCCGTGTCCTTCTTATTTAGCTTGCCCTTCTTTGCTTTCTTCTCCTCTAGAGCCGCAAGCTCTTCCTCCTCTTGGACAATTGCAGCTTCTTTTGCAGCTTCTTCTGCAGCAATTCGGGCGTTTTCTTCCTCTTCGAGTCTTGCCTTTTCTTCCGCCTCCCTAGCAGCAAGTTCTTCAGCTTCTCGTTCGGCAGCTTCCTTAGCTTCTTGCTCCAGTCGTTCGTTTTCAGCTTTCTCGGCCTTCTTCTTTTCCTTCTCGAGTTTCTTTAGTTCCTTCTCGCTCAGCTTCGGCTCCTTTTCTGTCTTCGACTTTCCTTTTTCCTTCTCTGCTTCCTTATCTTTGGATTTAGACTTCGATTTAGACGTAGTCAGGTCATCCCACGGATTGGCATCGGCTTGTCCTGTTCGATCTTCTGGTTCAGTAAGGTCCATAGAAGGGGGGGTGGGCGCGGGAGGGGGTGGATCAGCGAAGGTATCCTTGCTTGATTTTGATTTCTTTCTAGTAGATGATGACCAGGCCCAGTCGCCGTCATCATCAACCTTGCTGTCCTTGATCTCCTCTACTGCATCGGGTTGGACTGTCTCACCAGTTGTGTCTTCCTTTACTTCCACGGGGTTGTCTTTCGTCTTGTCCTTCTTTTTCTTGTCCTTTTTAGTGACAGCGCCCCAAATGTTGTCAACGGGCTCCTCGATGCTGTCGGGTTTCAAGGATGCTTCATCGGATCCTTTCTTCTTCTTGTCTTTCTTGCCAGTTCCCCAAGAGTTAAAGAAATCATCGTCGCCAGTAGCTTCCACAGTATCTTTGGGGGGTTCTTCGTTGGAGGCCGTTTTATCCGGGTCGTCCAGTTCAATCAAATCAGAGGCACCCTTCTTCTTCTTGTCTTTCTTAGAGCTACTTCCAAAGCCCCAGACGTCGTCTTTCGTGGGCTCTTCTTTGAGGCCTTCCTTCTTCTTGTCTTTTTTGGAACTCGCACCCCAAGAGCCCCATCCATCGTCAACGGATTGTTCTGGCTCTACGGGAGCTACCTCCTCCTTGGTCTCCTCAACAGCACCCTTCTTCTTCTTTTTCTGTTCCTTTTTCGAAAGGCCGGCCCAAAAATCATCATCTGATTTCTTTTCTGGCTCCGGCTCTGGCTCTGGCTCTGGCTCTGGTTCTGGTTCAGGTACAACGACCTCCTCGGCCGCCCCCTTTTTTTTCTTCTTCTTGTCCTTCTTTGACGAAGAGACTGTGCCCCAAATATCTTCTGGTTCCTTTTTCTCTGGCTCGGGTTCAGGTATAGGTTGGGGTTCAGGTTCAGGTTCGGGCTCTGGTTCAGGTTCTGGGTCTAGATCCTTGTTCTTCTTTTTC